CCCCCCCCTCCCTCCTCGTGTGCATATGATCATCCAAACAGACAGACGTGTGTGTGCGTGTGTGGGTGTTTACTTGCCTTGCCTGTATGGCTATGGCTGTGGCAAATACGGCTGGCTGACTGTGTGCGTACGGCACACTCGTGCTGTAATTAGGTGGGCTGGGTTGGGTGCCTGGAATGGATCGATAAATCAATTCAACGCGTGCCTCATGTCATGTGTGTCTGGCGGCGGCGATTCGGTCAGTTGTTGGCTGGTTGTCGGTTTGCAACGCCTTCGCATCGGCCACATGAGAGAGCGCTACACGTGCCTCAACGTGTCAGGACTCTGAAGTGGACGATGCGAACGCACTGCAACCGATTGCAGTGTCCAGATGGGTGGACGGGCACTTGTCTTGTGCGGTCAGTCAGTCAGCCAGGCCGTGCCGGCACCACGCACACGCACACGCGCCCGCAGACAGACAGACAGACAGACAGGCAGACAGATGCGTGTGTGTCTGCATGGTCATAGTCAATTAGCGAACGACGGTGCCTGCTGTGTGTGATGTGTGTGAGTATGTGTGTGCGGTGATGCGACCATCTACCTACCTGTCTCGCCTTGCGTGTGCTGTGGCTAACACAAAATGAACGAATGACCAGTCAGTGTGGTGTACGTTGAAAAAACAGCCATATGTCATGTATGTCAGGCCACCCGCCCACCCACCCGTGCCGATAAATGCGGAAGTCATGAAAACAAGCGGCCATGGGCACCGTGTCTCGCCGCGTGTCGATATCTCCGTCTGGCTGTCTGTCTGTCTGTCTGTCCGAGGGCTGTCTGCAAGGGATGGTAGGTGCTCACACTCTTTGCGTGTGTGTGTGTGCGTCAGAGAAGACTGATTGATTGGCTGACTGACTGACTGACATGAATCCTTCCGGGCGGAAGCGGTGTGAAGTTTGCATGCTTCCTCCTCATGTTCGTTGGGATCATGTGTCGCATGCAGTACTTACTGTCACTGTCGGGGATCAGTCCGACACACAGCGCCACGCCCCACCACATCACCTCCTGCCAAATCCGCTGGTGGCGAGTTGCGTGATGAGTGCGGAAGAACAGGACAGCCCGATTACAGCTCACACTCCCGGCCACAGGGATAGCGTGAGCTCTCGATACTCATCCTATCGGCTAGCACGGCCCACATAAATGAATGCGTGGATTCCTTCATAAGCACAAAGACAGAGAGCGAGGCAGGCCTAGTAGAGCATTGCCAGCAGCCTCCTGGACTGGAACCCATTGCCGCCTGACACACACACACACACACACAGCGAGCACTCGTCTGCCTGGCGTCTCTGTTTGATGTTCGGCCCACCCACCTGTGAGCATGTAGAAGTAGTCCAGCTTCTCTCTCGGGAAGTGCTGGATGACGCGCTTCCTCCGGTAGTAGGCCACGAAATTGGCAAACTCAAAGGCGCTGAAATTGCGGACCGTACGCACCTCCTCACGCCTAAATGAGGGATGCGATGCGATGCGGCCAGACGACACGACAGCGGCGATAGATAAGGAAGAGAGGTTGTGAGTGGGTGGGTGCGGTCGCAGTGGGTTACTTGACTTTGAGCAGCTCAGGTCGATAGTCGCGGCGATTGGCGTACTTCCAGCACGTCGCTGCCACCTTGATACCTGCAGACACACACCGAGCCGCATGCAAGACACACATGCGTCTGTCTGAGTGTCGAGTGTGTGTGCCCGGTGGCTCCATCTGTCCACCGCTGACCGACCTGACTGACCTCTTTTGAGTTGCCATCCGTCCCACTTGTGGAAGAGTCTGGGCATGGTGAGGTGGAAGGCCGGGATGTAGCCGTTGTACTTGGTGTTCTCGTACTTGATGGACAGGTACTCACTCACAGGGAAACACTCGTTCCACTGATCTGATGGATGGATGGATAGATTGCCGGCAGGGAGAAGAAATGACCACAGTGAGCACACACACAGAAAGGTGGATAGCACGACATGTTAGGTGATCTCACTCGCTCACCGACGGCAATCATGAGGGGGAAAGTGGTTTGCTTCTTGAGCTGCTCGAACAGCTCATATGCACACTGAGTGGCGAAGGCCTCGTTCTGCAGGCCAAAGTCAACGATCTCGTACAGATTCTCCGGAGACGGTAACCGATCCCTGCACACACACAAACACACACACACACACACACACCGATGAACACGTGTCGCGCGCCGGACGGACAGATGGATGGATGGATGGATGGGCCGACCTGACCTGAGGCTGGGTATCTTGACCTCCTTGCGATATGCATGCCAGAGCCTCAGCCTCTCTCGCTGTATCCCTATGGCGTCGTCCTTTGAGAGGGCTCCACCACCACCACTGGTAGCCGTCTCACTCTCTCCCTCGCTCTCTCCACTCTCCTCCTGATTCAGCCACCCATCCATCCATCCATCCAGACAGACAGACAGACAGACAGAAATGCAGCACAGGGCGAATGGATGGAAAGCAGTGGTCGTTGTCTGTTCCTCTCTCTGGCCGTGTGTACCTCTGAGGACTCCTCTGACTCTTCCTCGCCCTCTTCCTCCGATTCTTCCTCACTCACCCGACCACTCAGCTGCACACACACACACACACAGAGGGCCCCGCCGTGGTGTGTCACGTGCCCACAGGCATGACCGACGCACACGGTGAAGTGTTACCTTGTCGTCGATTCGCTGCTGGACCACTTTGCCGATGAGCGGGTCGTAGACACGCTGTGTGTAGAGGTGGTGGCTGCCGTCGATGGCCGAGTCGCCATAGCACGCCCCGTGCACCGGCATCCGCTCGAGCATCTCGCGATTCCGCACCGACACACGCTCCAGGAACTGCTGGGTGAACTCACTCTACACACATGTGATGTGGAACAGTCACGTGTGTGTGTGTGTGTGTTGTGTGTGTGTGTGTGGTGCCCTTCTTCCTTCCCTGCACCTGTATGTAGACGCCAGTGTTGGACCTTTTGATCTCGCCGATCTCGTGTGCGTATCGTCTGGGGCTCGGCTCAAAGATGACCAGCCAACCGCTCTCACGTGCCCACGCAACCAGAAAATTCAACACGGCACTCTGATACAGTCAGACGTCCACACGCTGAATCGATCTCTCTCTACCCCTTTCTGTCTGTCGATCGCACCTTGCCAGTGCCCCTGTGTCCATCAATGAGGAAGCCGCCCTTTGGAATAGTCCAGCCGCCATCAGCCCCCCTGTGCTGCTGTACCTGCTGCAGCTGACTGATCATCTCGAACGCCGGCTTGCGCAGCATGATCCCCACTGGTGTGGTGCGCGAGGGAAACATGGTGATGTCCTTGGGCAGCTCGCCGCACAGGCCCTCAGGGATCAGCTCCGTCAGGCTGTCGCGCACAAACAGCCGGAAGCGGCCGATGTCGTCGACGCCGATCTCACCGGCGGCGAGGTTCTCTGGCGGGATGTACAGGAAGGGGCGCTTGACGGGCTCCACCTCTGTGGGCGTGGGCGCGAAGCCGACCGTCACTGCAGGGTAGATGTCCTGACAGACAGACCAACACAAAACAAGGAGGAAGCTGCAGTCGCCCATTCGGTGGGTGCCACCCGACCCACTTCCTTACCATTTGTTCCTCTTCAGTGATCATTGCCAGTCTGGCCATGTGGCGCCTCTCCCTCTCACTGACGAGTGTGGAGTCCGTCTCGACGGGCAGGTCATAGCGGCGGGAGAGCCTGGCGTCACCCGATCTCCGCACTGCAGGGGCGGCTCCAGCTGCAGTGGCCAAGAGCTGACGCTGCTGCCGGGGCAATGAGCGGTGCCTGGGGATGGGCGGCGCTGCATGCTGAGATGGAAGGGATGGTAATGCAGGCATGCGCACCCTCATAAAGAAGGCGGCGCCGTTGCTGCTGATAGCTGCTGGCAGGACGGCCTTGCGGTACGAATTCTGGTCAAGATCTATCAAGATCTGTTGCCCGTGACGTATGTATTCGACGCAGCAGAAACTGCGTGAAGACGAACCTCTCGGCTCTTGCAAGCTCAGATGCTCCTCGAGAGGAAGGGGAAGATGAAGACAGCAGGAGAGTCCTCCGTCCCGCGTGCTGCCTCCAAGCCGCCTCTTGTCCGCCCACATGCCACTTTTCGCCCGCCTCCAGGCGCATGTAAGCGCTCCCACGCGCACTCTCGTTCGTCTCTTGACGCGAAAACGACGCACATGTCTGTCCTTGTGTGTTCAGCGCGAGAAGAACTTGAGCGCTTCATCGATATACTCGTGGAGCAGATCCTGGATCTCCGGAAGGACAATGCGGATCTCATGGAAATGCTCAAGAAAGACATGGAGAACCAGGAGGATCTGAGAAGGGACAAGGAGGATATGAGAAGGGACATGAGAAAGGACAAGGAAATGCTCTGGAAAGTCATTGAGGATCTGGGAAAGGACAAGGACTATCTGAGAAACGAGCTCAAGAGGGAGAGGGCGTTCAGCTTGAAGCTGAGTAAGAAGGCAGCAACGAGATGCGCCGTAAGGTAAGCATGAAAAGGCCGCTTACCTGTGCACCAATCAAAGGAGACAGGCAACACTCTCTCTCTCTCTTCATCTCTTTCTATGTGTCTGTCTGTCTGTCTGCGTGTGATGATTGCGAAGGCGTGCGTCATCATTTCTATCGGTGTTGTCGTTCTGTCGGCCATTGAGATTGGTATCGTCTAAAGCAGTCCCGCCAACAGTCCGCTCAAGCCGCAAGACCCCATCTTCTGGCGGGGCCTCTTCATCGGCTGCGGCAGTGCCTTCCTCAGTGCAGTTGTTGGAGCCATCATCAACCGCTGCCAGATCGGCGTACTCTGCAAGGCTTCCCAACAGAGCGGCAGCCTCTCACCAACCAGCGACGAAGCTGCGGCCGACACGCCGCAACATGACGGAGGATAGCCTGACTGTGCCCTTACTGGAGGAGGACGCACAGGTTTGACCGTCCGACTTCAACACCGCTGTGCCGCGCACGGGCTGGCTGCGCAGTATCGACTGCAATGAGAGGCCCCTGGAGAAGGAAGATGCAAGAAGGTCCACCACTCACTCACGGAAATGATTATGTCGCGTCCACCACATGCATTCGTTTGGTGTGATGCGGGCCATTGGTAGGCCGTGGATCGCCTCGGCGACGACCACTCGTGAGCTGTCTACCCTCTTCTCGCCGCTCTCCTGCGTCCTTCGTGCGGCCCTTTGGCTGCTCCGCTGGGGACACGACGACACCTAAGGCGGCATTTCGGCTCGGCAAGCAGCTCACCAACCTGACAGCACTCAACATGGTGCAGCCCGCGACGCATGATAGATTCCATTTGTCCCTTATTCCACGGGGGGCGCGAGGCGCGTCGGGCGCTGAGCAAGATGCGCTAGATAGGCACCTATCGGCGGACTTCCAGATAGGTTGAGGGGCGTGTGAGTGGATGTTGTGTAGAAGATTTTTCCTGTTTTTCCCAGACGACTGACTTGTACAGTGTGCACAGTACAGAAGAAGAAGGCTTGCATGAGTGTCTGGGAGCTGATCAGAGATGAAATTCACTATGTCGGGCGGTTCGCTTTGTGTGTCTGGCTGCTTCGGACGCTCCCTGTCGGACCGCCTTTCTGCAGTAAGGATGGTATACCGTTGTGGTAATACGATATCGAACTGCCATCGGTGCTTTTGGCGGGCGCTGGGCATCGGCGGCAGAGGCGTCCCCATGACTCGCGTGACGCCTGATTGAGTATCACAAGAAGGCCGAAGTGAGAAAGGTGTGTATCCCATCCCCTGTTGTCCTACCTTCCTGATGGTGCCGCCAGACGCTTGCAACGGTCTTCTTCCCGTTCAATGACCTCTTCAAGCGTCCTTCTCCCGGCAGATCCAGGCCGCCGGCCAACTGGCCATGCGAGCTCGCCCCCCAGTCTCGGAAAGTCATGTTTGCCTTGTGCCGCATCAGTAAGCCAGACAAGGACGACGAACTGCTGATCAAAGGTAGCGTCAAAGATGCCGCCGGGCTCAACACATGGCGGCCACCAGAGGCACGAACCGGCAAATCTGACGCAAGAAGGAGCTTCAGGCGTCATCGGAGGCCCGAAGAGCCTGCGTCGGACTCAGCTGTGAGGAAAGAAGACGGAGAGGACGTTCGAGGGGGCGACAAGTCGGTGGGCTTCAGCGAACCCAAAAGCGACGAGGAAGACAAAAAGCCTGAACAGAAGGAGCATGTGAGGTTCCTGACACCTGGCGAGGAGGCCCCATCGGCTCCCACCCCTTCATCAGACCAGCCGACTCGGAGAGGCGGGCTCAAAAAAGCAACGGGGGCCATCCTCCTCGCCGCAACATTGGCAAAGCCCCAGCAGCAAGTGCCGCAAGAGCCCGGGGAGCTGGTCAAGTTCGATGCGCTGCTTTCCGTCAAGACGGCTAGCGTCAACGACCCCGCTTTGCCTCTCCTACAGGCACCCGTCCGAGTCACTGATGTCGAGGATCCCATTCTGTTGCTGGGCGGGGGGAGAAGGCGACGGAAGCGGACGCTGCGTGAGGGCGAGACTGAGGAGATGGAGGCTTTGGGTCTGTCGGGAGGCATCGACGGCGACTCCAACCAGCTCTTCCTTAAAGTGCAGGTGCAGCGGCAGATGGAGGAGTTTGTCCGCACATACACGCCCGGCGTGATGCTGCAAAAGCTGGTTGGCAGCCATGCCTACTACCGCCGAAGGGTGTACCTCGATATGGACAGGCGGGCCTTGGTGCTGCAGGGGGCAAAGGGCGCCTCACGCTACCCCTTTTCTGAGATGATGGAGGTCACACTGGACAACAGGGAGACCATTCAAGAGCAGGGGCAGCGGAGGGGCAGTGTGATCATCCAAAGGAGGGGGTCAGTGACCAGGAGCCGGACGTACGTCGAGAGCGTCGTCACCGTCAACATGAGACGCGTGCCGGGGCTTTTGCAGAAGAAAAAGGTGAGGGCTGGGACACATGCACGGAATCGATGGAGTATGTGTGTGTCCCTCTTTGTCGATTCAGTTGGTATTGGTTTTCCCCACCGCTCAAAAGGCGACGGACTTTGCTGCATGTGTCAACTTCTTGGCCTCAACCCTCAACCCACACAAAGGGGCGGGTGGCCAGCCGAGCCAGAGAAGTATGCAGGCTAGCGCCTTCACTATGTGAGCTTGGGACAGGGGGTTAGGGGAGGATGGGTACCGTCATCAACGTTCTGGTGCATGAAAGTGGGACCCGTCCGTGCGTGTCCATGCATATGTGGGATGGACTGACCATGGCTGGCTCAACGATACACTGAGTGAGCTGATTCAGTGGAATGGAAACAACCGTGTCCGTCGGCCGTATCACTCGATTTTTTGTAGTGACTCACGCATGTGTCCAGTGTCTGCTTGTCCCCTCACTCAGCTTTCTGCGTCTCCCTGTCTTAACGAGGTGGAAACTCCTCCACGAGTGTGTAGCGATGCGTGTCTCCCAGCTGCCGCACCGCGTCTCGATTGCCAAAACATTCCGCAGGGCCTTCGGGCAAGCTGAAGAGCAGCAGACTGAGGGATGGAGGAGTGTCCGGCTGCCTGAGAATCCCCTGCCATCGCTTCTTGTCTGCATGTGTCATGAGCATAAGCCCGGCCGACTGGATCAGACACATGGCCTCGTGAGCGGTGCCGCCGGGCGGGAAGATGGGATCGATGGTAACTTTTGGGGGCAGGTGGGGCAGCAGACGGGCTTGGGGATTGATCCGGCCGTCACGAGTCCTCTCTTTCTTCGACATGCATTCCCGACTCATCTTCTGCAGCTCGGGCCATGCGTTTTGGATCTCGAAGAACAAGCGCGTCTCGTCGTCCATGTGCTCTCTCTCATCGATTGATTCCCCCGCCAACTGGACATCGGGTTTGATGGGTGACAGGACCCCGGTCTTGCTGAGAAGTGAGCTCGTCATGTGCCTGGCAGCTGTCGATCTCCTCTTCGTCCATCTTAGGTGCGTATTTGAACCCGAACGACTGGTAGTAGAAGCCTGAGACACAGGCAGGCAGGCAGACAAAGAGAATCAATCAATCAGGACGTGACTGAAGCCACGCAGGGCCATTTTCCTGAATGCATATGGATGTCTGTGTACTTGCATGTGAGAGAAGATACAGCTCCTTGATGCTGCTGCTGTCGGTCAGTGTCACCTTGGTCAGTGTCACCTTGGTGCAGCCCCAGTGCTTCCCGTATGTATCAAGCCATGACAGCATCGAGACCACAAGAGAATTGCCGCTCAGCCGGTCGTCTTTGTGAACACTGCATGAAATTGTGCGGACAGAGAAAAGAGGTGACAGCTTGTGTGTTCAGCGCTGCGCTACTTTTCCAAGAAGCAGTAGTCCTCCTTTTGCCAAGGCAAGCGATAATCCAGGCGACACCAACCATTTGTGACGTCGATTGCCTCGACCTTCTGCAGTGAGATTTGAAGCTGAGCGATGTCGCCTGTTCCCTTTTTTCGCAGCCGCAGGACCACATCCAGCGTGTGCTTGTCCCTGAGATCTGGCTGCACCCGATGGCGGAAGGCCTCGGCGACCTTCACGGAGCAACTGCCCATCCAGCCACCCATTGCAGCGGCCAAGAGAAGAAACAAATTTTGAAGAAAGCCGTATTGTCGAGTCTCTCCCTCCCTTTCCCTTTCTACCCGATGTCGATTGGCTTCTCAGGCAGATCACGGGGCGGCTTGGAACACGTCACCTCATCTGTAACAGTGACACGCGACGACGAGGCATGCTGCCACAGCTGGCACAGGAGGATTAGAATTGGGATGAGAGACTGCATCAGACCTCTGAGACGCAGAACTTCAGGCGGAGGCCCCCAGCCCCCAGTCTGCGGGCATGCCTTACCCCCCTCCGAGCAATGCGCTGCCCAGAGACACATCCAAACACACTGCAAAAGAAAACGAAGAGAGACATAGCTGAGACACAGAAGACAGACAGAAGACAGGCAGGCAGACGTGTATGTGAGACACCCTTGCAAAATGGAATGGAGCGGGTCGAATGCATTCCATTGAAATCGTCGACCTGCCCGTTGGACCCTGTCGCTCTACTAAATCTCAATGAACCAATGTGGCTCACATGCATTGGATTGTAGCGGGTGTGGGGTGGCTCTGGTGACGACAGGTCAAGCTTTAAGGATGTGTTCGCATCATTTGAAGCGTGTTCATTCACATTGCGCACCGGCTCAGTCTCCACGCTGACAGACAGCCCGCCCACATGCACCTGCCATCTTGACGGCGGCGTGTGCACAGCCATCTGCACAGCACAACACGAGGGCCCACCACTCGGCCGACTATCAGACTCTCTGCGGTCATTCTCTGTATGGCCTCAAATCGCATTACGGCAGCCCCATCACTGTCCCTGGCGAACCATTGCATGATTCATGTCATGACAGGCGCTGTGTGTAAGAGAAAGAAAGACAAATAAAGTCGTGGGTAGCAACAGATGGCGAAGCATGCATGCAAAGCAGCCGTGCTCGCTCTCCCTCTCTGTCCCGTATCACACATGGACTAGGCGGACCAAAAATACGCAGGTCAGTCACATCAGACGCCTCTGTAGTTTGTCTTTCCGGACAGTTAGACAGGCACCGATCTGTTCTCACTGAAAACTCACTACGGTGGTGCTCTGTCTCTCTCTGTCTGGTGTAGCCACACATAGATTAGTCAGGCCAAAAATACGTAGGTCAGTCAGACAAGACGCCTCTGGATGGCTAATTGGATGTCCGGAAGACACACACGTGTAATGCGTCTTGCGGACACACACGGGCAATGCACACACAAATACACAACCATCACATGCATACACACACACACACACACACAGAGAGAGAGAGAAAGAGAATAAAGAGGGAAGATACTAGTCGAATAAACAGACTTATCCCAGAATGAGCGAGCTGCTGGCCCTCATGTCGACGCGCAACACGCCCATGTGCTCTGTTTGGTGTCGTGCAGGTGTGTTGGTGCTTTCCTCCCCCCATCAGGGCAGATACTCAGGTTTGTTTGCACTGAATATACTCGAAGCAGTCACACTCCCGGTACCACGTCTGGTCGCACTCGGACATGTCCATGAGGCGGATCGTGTCTTCGCCGTCGCAGCCGTCGTTCTTTTTCCAGTTCGTTGCGGTTTTATCTATCGATTTGTAATTTTCGCACCAATACTGTTGACGACGACAGAGAAGAACACTCATGAATGGATTGCATATGCATCCATCACTTAAGTCTGCGTTGCTTGCTTACCTGAGCTGCCTCTTGGCCACAAGTTGATCTGTCCCAGTCCCTCCACCAGACTTTCCCACACCAATCAATCCGACGCCCGTGCTCTTCTGGGTCGGGAATATTCTCTGCAGCAGACAGAGAGAGACACAGAGAGAGTCGATCAGTGACCATATCAACAGGAAGCCACGCATTCCTGGAATCACCACCTACTCTCGACCGCAGCGCATTCCTCGTCTCCGTCGCAGTTCCGAATCACACGCTCAGCGCCTGCAGCTGCACGACGAACACACAGGAACAGACGAGCAATGACTTCACCCCGTGCACACAGATGACGCCTCCTGATTGCCTACTGTAGTTGCCGGTGCCGTCGATCTGCACCCACATGGGATTGATGTAACGGATTTCTGCACACACAGAGACAGACAGACAGACACAGATAGGGAGCTCATGGATTGCAACTCAGCAACCCCCCAGCGCTCACCTCCAGGCTCCAGGGGCGCACAGGTCAGGTCAGTCGGGTCACATTCACTGTGTTCCTCAGTACCCAGGAGCTGGCAGTGGGCGACGCCGGCGAGAGCCAACAGAACCAGCCCACCAAACACCCGCATCATCATTGTTGGGGAGAGGGGAGAAGACGCTGCTTTTGGTGCTTGGCGCAGAGAGTTGAGAGAACGAAGGAAAGGAGCGAGAACTTGAAGACAGAGGATTCTTTGTTTGGCCGGCAACGGCTGTACGAATCATATATGAATTTACGATGCCTGGCTCTCCCGTCCCGTCCGTCAGATGGGACGTGTGTGGATGGGGTTACTGAGTGGGGCGGCAGATTGGTAGGCAGGCAGATCCGCGAACGCTGTCCGTCTTTCCGAAGATCGGCGGGTGGCAGTGCGTTGAAGCGTCCGCGTTCGCGTGGCTAGGCGTTGATGATGCAGTGCCATGAATGCACACATGCAGCATGACAAGCTGTGGCCCTACTAGGGAGGGAGGGGACTGTGCCGGGGATGATTGTCTAACGTCTGTCAGCCATCCGTTGACAAAGTGGATCCATTGATGATGCCAGTGGTGACAACAGGCAATAGACAACAGGTCAGCGGACGTGACCACATGGAAGTCTGCACTTCACATTACGCAGCGGCTCAGTCTCCACGTGATAGGCAGCCAACCCCACATGCATCTGCCTTTTCGACGGTGGCGTGTGCACAGCCATCTGCACAGGGGCAGCGTATGCACACCACAGCACGTGGGCCCATTCGGCCGACTCTCAGACTCTCTGCCGTCATTCTCTGTATTGCTTCAAGTCACTAGACAAAGCACATGACGGCAGCCCCACCACTGTCCCTGGCGATTCGTTGCACGATTCACAGACAGACAGACAGACAGAGAGAGAGACGACAGAAGTAAACTCGTGCAGAGAAGCGCGTGTCGGTAAAACAAACAGAAGAAACAATAGAGCATGCTCTGTCTCTCTCTGTCCGGTGTTGCCACACATAGATCAGTCAGACCGAAAACACGCAGGTCAGTCAGACGAGACGCCTCTGCATTGCATGGCTAATTGGATGTTCGGAAGACGCACACGTGTAATGCGTCTTGCGGACACACATGTGCAATGCACACACAAATACACATCCATACAACCATCACCGACACCCACCCAGAGAGAGAGAAGGAGAGAGAGAGAAGGGGAGAGAGGGAGAACGAGAGCGAGAAATGAGCACACATAGGGATCGCATGAACAGACGCGCCAACAGCCAACAGCCCCACCACCCACCGGCCCGTCCGTCAGATGGGACGTGTGTGGATGGAATGGGTGGGGCGGCAGATTGGTAGGCAAGCAGATCCGCGAACGCTGTCCGTCTGTCCATAGATGACGGCGCGTGTGTGTGGGTTGGTGTTGATCGATGCAGTGCCATCATGATCGCTTCTCGTTCCCATTGAATGAATCTACATACATGCAGCACGGGACTGTGCAGGCGATGATTGTGTTCCGTTGACAAGTGGATCCATTGACTGGTTGTGTCGTGTGTGGTGACAACAGGTCAGCGGACGTGACCGCATCCGAGAGTGTTCATTTCACACTACGCACCGGCTCAGTCTCCACGCTGACAGACAGCCAACCCCACATGCACCTGCCACTTTGACGGTGGTGTGTGCACAGCCATCTGCACGAGTGCAGCGTATGCACACCACAGCACGTGGGCCCATTCGGCCGACTACCAGACTCTCTGCGAATACCATCCCCGGCAGTCGACTCACTGTGGCAAACCGTGTGTGCAAGAAAGACAGACAATCAGACAGACGAAGGACACAAGTCGTGTAGAAAAGGGCCAGCAAAACAAACAAAACGAAACACAGAAAACAAAACAAAACAACACAAAGGGAAAGAAAGAAGGAAGGAATGCATGGAACAACACTCTAGCAAGGCGCCCGCTCTCTCTCTCTCTCTCTCTTTGTTGCCACACATAGATCAGTCAGACCGAAAACACGCAGGTCAGTCAGACGCCTCTGCATTGCATGGCTAGTTGGATGTCCGGAAGACACACACGTGCAATGCGTCTTGCGGACACACATGGGCAATGCACACACAAAGACACACACACACACACACGCGCACGCACGCACACACAGAGAGAGAGAGAGAGAGAATACAGAGGGAAGATACCAGTCGAAGAGAGAGACCCGTCCCAGAAAGAACGAGCTGCTGGCCCTCGGTCTCGCTGTGCATGTGCTCTGTTTGGTGTCGTGCAGGTGTGCTGATGCCTTGCTCCCCCATCAGGGCACGTCCTCAGGTTTGCACTGAATGGATGCTATGACGACCCTTCCGTGTAGAATCAGAAAAAGGAAGAAAGAAAGAAAGAAAGACATACAGACAGACAGACAAAGAGACAGAGAGACAGACAGAAGGAAGGAAGGAAGGAGGGAAGAAGATATGAACAAAGCAAAACAAACAAAACAAACAATAGAGCATGATCTGTTTCTCTCTGTCCCGTATCCCACATGGACTAGGCGGACCAAAAATGCGCAGGTCAGTCACATCAGACGCCTCTGGATGACTAATTGGATGTCCGGAAGACACACACGTGCAATGCGTCTTGCGGACACACATGGGCAATGCACACACAAAGACACACACACACGCACACACAGAGAGAGAGAAGGGGAGAGAGAGCGAGAGCGAGAAATCAGCACACATAGGGATCGCAGAGAAAGAAAACACCGGTCATCATTCAGAAAGAAAACACCCCCAAGGATTGAAGAGCGAGTTCATCATACACAATCAATACGGCTGAAACAGTCACAGTCCTGGAGGCCCCAGTAAGCACCTGGGTCGCAAATGGTGTTATCCATGATGCGGATCATTCGTCGCTCATTCCCTTGCGAGTCGTCGCAGTCCCAGTTGGTGTCCCAGTCGGCTGCTGCAGTCCCATGCTCGTAAGTTCTGCAGTATTCCTGCGACGAAAGGCACAAAAACATTGATGAACGCCATATCCATCACTTCGAGTGCGTCGCTTCCTTACATCAGCTGCGTCTTCGCCACAACGTCGCATATGGTTCATCCCACACCTATCGACATGCAGCCCGCCCACCCGCGGGTTGGGGATGGATGCTGCAGCAGAGAGAGGAGAGACAGAGGGGACTAAGAATCAACAGGAAGCCACACACTCCTAGACCAGACCTGGAAGATGTGCGGCCGTGGTGCACTCGTCTCCGTCGCAGTTCCGAATCGCACGCTCAGCGCCTGCAGCTGCACGACCAACAGACACAAACAGGCAAACATGACTTCACCCGGTGCACACAGATGACGCCTCCTGATTGCCTACTGAAGTTGCCGGTGCCGTTGATCTGCCCCTACACAGGGTTGATGTAACGGATGGCTGCACACAACACACAGAGAGACAGAGAGACAGACACAGAGAAGGAGCTCATGGATTGCAACTCAGCAACCCCCCAGCGCTCACTTCCAGGCTTCAGGGGCGCACAGGCCAGGTCCGTCGGGTCACATTTGCCACCTTGCCTAGAGGCGAGGAGCTGGCAGTGGGCGACGCCGGCGAGAGCCACAATGACCAGAACACCAATCACGCGCATCATCACAGCTGTGAGGGAAGGGGACGCTGCTTTTGGTGCTTGTGCAGAGAGTTGAGAGATAGAAGGAAAGGTCGAGCAAAGACAGACAGAGGTTGCCGCAGCGGCTGTACGCTCGCCAGTCAGTAAATTCACTCCCCTGGCCGTTGCGGCCCGTTACCAGCCCCGTTGCGGCCCGAGCTCTCGGGGTTAGATCAACCACCACCACCACCACCATTGACTGCGTCTCGACCCACCCCCCCAGCCGCCTGCCAGCAGACTGACGTAGCATGCACACTGTCGACATCACACATCCAGTCATCGCACAGGCCCAAATCGGCCCCATGGAAAGAGCCGTATGACCGGATGACCGACAATCTCACTCTCCCTCAGCTCGCCCCACAATCGGCTGTCGACACTCCTGACTGGATTGTCACCCAACACATATACGGCGCCGCTCCCCAGCACACACTCATCCGCCACCCACTGCGAGGGCGCCTCACCGGCATACGGCCATGCGAACCCCCGGCCGATCGCCAGACGTTGCATCGACCCATCGGCCCGTGCTGGTGGCGCGTCGCTGCCTATCGTCGGTGGCTCTTCGGGCTCGGGGTAGACGTATGTGTGACCATTGATGGTCGGCAGGCCGTTGTCGACCGTGACCCTGTCTCCCTGGGTCGCAGCCACTCGCTTCACGAACAGATCACCAGGCGCCAGCTGGCCGCCAGCCTGCATGTGACAGACAGCCAGGCACAGCACAACGAACACGAGAGAATAGCGGATGGATGCGTGTGGGCTTGGCTTCGTCTGCGTGTCTTGGGTCAGTCCCTCACTTGGCGCACAAAGGTCCTCAGCTGTTCTGGCGGATTGAAGAGCACGATGTCGCCATTTTTCGGCGGCCGCACCAAACGGCTGACCTTCTCAACTAAAAGCACATCCCTGATACACAGACAGATAGATAGATAGACAGACATACACAGACACGTGGCGCAGATGTACATATTGCAGCGTGTAGCTGGTTGGCTGTCTTGTGTTGCCCACCCTTTGTGAAGTGTTGGCTCCATCGAGTAGGACGGAATGTAGTAAAGAGAACAAAATTGGCTGCATAGACGGCAAGAATGACAGGATCCACAGCAGATGGGTGCGTGTCAGGGGCCGGATCGATCTCAGCTACCTCGCGACGAGAGCGACGGCAAGCAGCTGCGCTGCTGACAACAGGGTGGATATGAGCGTGGCGGTATTGTACATGCGGGGCGTCAAGAAGATTGGCACCTCACTCCTGCACACAGGCAAAGAGGCACACACGGACGAGTGACTGTGCAATTCTCCACGAAAACACCGGACACTGTCTGTGTGTGGGTGTGTCGCACACGCGGACATTGCGATGGTGACGGGCCACTGCCTCTCAAGTTTGTCTACTAAACGGTATCGTGGCCTGACAGTGATCACCGCATCCCTTATCGGATCACCATTCGCACGCACGTCGATCCTCTCCACACGATAGTCAACACCTGCACACACAACCAGACCAGACACACACCAGAACATCACAACGCCGCATGTTTGTGTGCTCCCTCCATCCCTGACCTGGATAGACGCCCTTGCGAAACATGTTCTCTCGAATGGCCGCCCACCCAGGTCGCGCCCCTATTAGTGGGACGATGTCACCGCCCTCCCTTATCTCCCGCCGCATGTCCTTGAACTTGAAGGCGCGGCCAAGCAGACGGTAGACGGCACCGATGATGCCTGAGGGATCTGCTGGCGGGTCTTTCTGCAGTGAGAAAGACTCGTCGCCGGATGGGGGAGGCCGCTGCACATCATCTCCGCTTCTCTTGAGAGCTGCACTCTTTGTGTTTTCTGCTGGTAGACGATGCAGCCGGGGACGCTGCCGCTGCGCAGATCTGATGGGTCCTGAAAGGAGGCCTTGGAAGGCCAGCGCTGACTGCGGGTCGAAGACGAACAGCGGTGAAAGCAATGCCACAACGAAGTAAGAAGAGGGCATGCCTAGCAAAAGCAGAAATGCTGCGTCGTTTGCTTCCGCGGCGGGAGAGTCGTCCTGTTTGAGCTCGCAGACAAGCTCGCGCGAAGAAGAGAGAAAAAACGGCAGATCTGGGTCCGTGTGACGCTCCTATGGACAAATCACAGTAGATCCGATCACCAGAGCCGTCTGCTGCATCCGTTGTTTGTGAGTGATGGACTATGAGGGTCCGCGGCCTCCGCGGCGGCCTGCCGTGAGGGAGGCCATCGACTTCACGCCCACAGGTCTGTCAGGACGCACGCACACGCACACACGCTTGAGGAGCGCATGCAGAGATCGCATGTGTGTTGCAGTTGTGCAGTTCTTCGGCTCCACGATTCACTGCCGCCGGCTGTCGGACAGCCCGGCACTGCTGGCACATCCCTCGTCGACACGCGACGTACGCAGTAGGAGATGAGAATGAGAAGCCGCATCGCATCGGTCCAGACAGGCGTCACTCTGTGTGTGTTGCGTGTTGTGTTGCGTGTGCGCTCATGCAGCTGCTGCCTCCATTTGCGACTCGCGAGTCGCCGTATGACTGTCTGTGCACGCGGTTTCTCAAGTGCTGTGTGTCCAAGTCCAGGGGCACCGTCAACTGCCTGCAGTGGTTCCCTGACGGCCGGCGGCTCATCACAGGCACGTCCAATGGCGACTTCACCCTCTGGGACGGAATCGACTTTGGCTTCTTCGACCTCAAACAAGTGGGTGGGAAGTGCATGCGGGCGGGCGTGCTGACTCAGTCATTCATTCATGTGTGTCCATATGTTTTGTGGTGTGTGGTGTGGTTCGATGTGTTAGTTGAACCACAGTGCGGTGGGTGCCTTGACGTGGACGCATTCGGAGAAGACGCTGATATCGGGCAACTACACGGGGGAGGTCCACCTGTACACGCCACAGCTGCTGTCCATCAACATCATTCAGGCACGCACACACACGCAGCCACAGCCAGAAGCAGTCGGTTATTCATTCGCTCATGTCCATTGTGTGGTGTTGTTCAGGCGCACAAGTCGATGATTCGCGACATCAGCCTGGCGCCGACGGACCTCAAGTTTGTGACGGCTGCCGACGACTCCCACAGCATTCTGTGGGACCTCCACAGAGGCACGGCCGACCGAAGCTTCACCGGTACACTGACAAATAGATCAACACAGCCAACACAGCCCAGATGTTTCTGTCACTTTCTTGTCTTGTCTGCTCAGGTCACGGCTATGATGTGGTGTGCTGCGAGTGGCATCCACACAAGGGCCTCATCGCTTCAGGTTGGCGCACGCAGAAGCAACCAGGGCGGGGCGGGGCGGCACTGTGACAGGAAACGGAATACATCATGTATGATGTCTGTGTGTGTCGTGTGTTGTTTCCTGCACACAGGTTCCAAGAGTGCTCAGGTCCAGCTGTGGGACCCCCGGAGTGAGAACCCCATCAACAGCATGCACCTACACAAGAACGCACTCACCAAAGTCAAGTCAGACAGTGCACACATACGCACACACAGCACAGAACACACAATCCTCCCTGCCCACGTGTATGTCTCACTCAGATGGAGCCCCTCCGGTGACTATTTGTTGACGTGCGGCAAGGATCAGTCCATCAAGGTGGTCGATCTGCGCACCCTCAGCGTGGCGCACACCCTCAGGGGCCATCAGGCCGACGTCACGGCGGCGGCATGGCACCCCTACCACCAGAGCATCGTCGCCACAGGCGACTACGGCGGCCACCTGGCCTACTGGGACGTCAGCGATCCGTCGGGCAGCCCCATGGCCACCGTCCCCAACGCACACGACCACTGCGTGCTGAGCCTCGCGTGGCATCCGCTAGGACCCATTGTCGCGTCGGGCGGGCAGGACTGCACCACACGGTTCTGGTGAGTGAGTGGGTGAAAAGAAGAGGACAACACCTGGCCGTTCCGTCGACGTGAGTGTGTGTTTGTTCTGTGTGATCGACCGATTAGGGGTCGGTCGTTGCCTGGCGATGAGGGTGAGGCGCTGGTGCCTCAGAGTGACCGGCCGCCCACTCAGTACGCCCCGCCCCGCATGGCCAACTTCACCCGCACTCTGCCGCTCAAAGCCGCGAGGCCCAACAGGCAGCCCACCGTCCCACCGAGCAGGACATCCACACCCGCACCCAAAAAGGGTACATTACATGCATGCCATAACACAAGAACACTCATCTATCGCTCTCTGTCATTGGTTTCTCTTCTCTCTCTCTCTCAGCGAGTTCGGCGGATGCGACAGCTCCGGCGCTGCGCATGGGGTTCCTGAGGCTGCAAAGAGGTCCCGCGAGCACCCTACCTGGCCGTCATCCCGGCTCACGGAAGCTCATGTCGCCCCCAGAACCCCCCACACCCCCCGCAGAAGAGACCGCAGCGGCGGCAGCTGCTGCTCCTGCCGCTGACGGTGAGAGCAAAGATGGCGTCTCGGCTGCTGCTGCTGCTGGTGCTGCTGCTTGTGGGAAGCGCGGGCCGGATGACGGGCCCGAGGTTAATGGTGTTGATGGGGGCAGAGGTGGGGGTGGGGGTAAGGGTGTGAAGAGGGTGCGGATTGTTGAGCCTGTGAGTGATGGGATGGGCGGTGGGCAGCAGGGGGGCAATGAGGAGATGGTGGTGGACTCTCAGGATCAATGAATGAATCAAAGTGCCTACTTGTTTTGAGTGAGGGTCCGGTGCACCACTGTTGGTAGCATGTCGCTGGCCTCCGGCGCCGGGTGCACCAGTGTCTGTGGTGCACCCGGTCACGGATGTGTGTGAGTGTCTACCAACAGTGGCGCCCTTGGTACGATGATTGAGAGGATTTGTGTACGATGGAGGGCTCTGGCGATGAACTGTTGATACGTACCAGTGCCTGTGACGTCCTTGCTTCGCCTGCAGCCGCTCCCAGGCACTTGCCGGCGACGGAAATGTGTTACCCCCGAGACAGTGTGTTGCACCACTGTCTGTTTGGGTAGAGCAGGTCTCTCGTTGGTGTGTGTCGGTGAGTGCGTGAGCCCGTCTCTCTACCGTGCTCGCCGTGTACTTGGTCAGTCCGACATGCTGTGTGGTGTGGTGCATTCATTCAACCCCCTGTCCGTCGAATCAGTCCATATCTCACACACACACACATACACACACACACCCATACACGCATACGTAAAAAGTCCGTCGACCATCAAGGTACCTACCTAACCCACGCTATGTCGGTTGCAACAACAGCGCACGAAAAAGGGGGGCACAGGGAAGGAAGACCTCTCACACACACACAGGTGCGTATGCGTGCACACCACACCCACATGCACCGCACCATGTATGTGTGATGCATGAAGAGGTGGGTGTGGGGGTGGAGGGAGGGGAGGGGGGAGGGACATGCAGAGGGAGCATGTGCACACAGACAGACAGAATGCACCGACCTGCACGCCAAAAATAGACTGACGACACTCACCTCACTCACCACACACACAGACACACACACACGCAGACACACACACACGGGCTGTGCTTCGCTATGCGAGCCCACCTGTACACCGACCCACCCCACACGCCCTTATCGAAGAAAGACGATCGATCGCTGCCCCTCTCTGTACACACACAGACACTCATGCTTGCTTGCTGGCGGTGCGGTGGCCGTGTGGTCGGTCAAAAAGGCCAGCCAGCCATGCACGCAGCCAACAACGACAGACAGGAACGCATCCACACACACACAGAGACATCATTCATTCTCAAAATTGCCACACAACACACAACACAAGGCAGGCAGGCAGATACACACATACGCATAAATGCCATGCCCACCACATGGAATGGAGCGATACACACGCACGACGCATGCACGGCAGTGACACCTCTCTCTCTCTCTCCCTCTCCCTCCCCATCTGTTTGAGTGGATCGTGTAAGCACTAAGGCAAAAGCTGGTTTGGTTGGTGTCGTGGCGCACACCCTGTGCACCAAGATGGAAAAAACATGCACACACACACCTACGGCTATACCTCTACCTGTCTCTCTCTCCGCCCCTCCCTCGCTCGCTTAGTGTCTATGTGATGCGATGAAGTTCTCCACCGGTTCGTACGGGAGGTCAAATGCCGACGCCACGCCCTCGTGCACCACCTTGCCCTGCACATCCACACAGACACATGTCACAAAGAGCTTACCCGTGCCGTGTGCATATGAGGCTGGTCATCTGCCTGCCTCACTCACTTCGATGATGTTGAGCCCGCCCTTGAGCTCGGCATTGTCCGCACACGCGCGCCGCCACCCCTTCTCGGCTAACGCTATCGTGTACCTGAGCGATCAAACCACCCATCACACACGCACACACACACACACAGAGAGAGAGAGAGAGAGATGGAAAGGAAGGTTCAGACACACACGTGGGTCTACGGGTGCTTGCTTACGGGAGTGTGGCGTTTGTGAGTGCGATGGTGGATGTGTAGGGGACGGCGCCGGGCATGTTGGCCACGCAGTAGTGCAGCACGTTGTCCACCACATACGTCGGCTCGTCGTGGGTGGTGGCCTTGCACGTCTCGATGCACCCACCCTGGGGCGTATCGCACATCCAGTGTGTCTCCCTGCCTGCAGGTGTGCATGTGTGTGGTCGTCTACCTACCTGGTCGACGGCCACATCGATGACGACACTCCCCGGCCGCATGATCGACAGCATTTCCCGGGTCACCAACTTGGGAGCACGCGCACCTACACCCACACATCCACGACACACACACATCCACACACACATGAGGACACCACGCCTGTGCACCAACCATCCGTCATCTGGCTGATTGACAGACATACCAGGGATGAGCACCGCGCCAATAACGAGGTCAGCGAGTCTCAGGAGGTCCCGGATGGTGCTCTCGTTGCTGTACCTCGTCTCCACATTGGCCGGCATGATGTCGTTGAGGTACCGCAGCCGCTGCAGGTTCAGGTCCATGATAGTCACCTCCGCACCCAACCCTGCCGCCAGCTTGGCCGCGTGCGTGCCCACTATGCCGCCTCCAAGCACCAGCACAAAACCTCTGTGTGTGTGTACAATACCATACACACACGGCAATCAATCGTAAATGCAGACATACAGACATGTGTGTATGGTATGGCGCTGGATGATCTTACCTTCGCACGCCCGGAACGCCCCCCAGCAGCACGCCGCGGCCGCCCATTGGCGCCTCGAGGTACTTGGCGCCCTGCTGCACACTCATGCGGCCGGCGATCTCGGACATGGGGATGAGCAAAGGCAGCGAACCGTCCGACTTGGCCACCGTCTCATATGATATGCATATCTGCGTGTCGCAAGGAGGCAAGGAGGCAGGAAGAGATGGAGAGAGGGCTGGGCTGTTTGTGAGAAGGCGAGCCTGACGGACCGATTTGTTTTGGATCATGGCCTCGGTGAGCTCCTTGGATGACGCGAAGTGGAAGTAGGTGAAGACCACCTGGCCCTCACGGATGAGGGTGTACTCGGGCGCCAAAGGCTCCTTCACCTGCAGGCACCAACACACAGATCCCATCCACTTCTCTCTCTCGTTTTGTGTGCCCTGATGGACTGACTGACTGACCTTGACAATCATGTCAGCCTGTTGGTACACGTCCACGCACGTCGGGACGATGGTCGCCCCCATGGCGGCGAAGTCCTCATCCTCGAAGCCTGACCCCGCCCCAGCATTCGACTCCACCAGCACCTTGTGGCCTCGGCGCGTCAGCTCCGACACCTTCGCAGGCGTCATGCCCACGCGGTTCTCGTTCTTCTTTACTAATGCATAACCACACACATAATCACACACAGAGGGCCGGGCAGAGATGGGCAATGGGCTCGTACGCTGTGTGTGTGCATTTCGTTCGTGTGGTTGCTTACTTTCCTTGGGCACGCCCATTGTCAGTGTGCGTGCCGCGCCGGCGAGTCCTGCCGGGGCGAAAGGCGTGAGTGCTGCTGCTGATGCCATTGGCCGTATGGCTGCACGAAGGCCGCCCAGCGATGAACGGGCCAGGTCGCGCAGCATGGCTCGGGTGGCGCAGCGTGGGTGGGTGCGGCCGTACGAGTGACCCTGCCAGGTGCTGGGACACGCTGCAGAGGCACGTCCAGCCTATCAATTCAGAGAGTCGGAAGTGCGAGCTAAGACCAGTGGCCTCTGGCGACCGAAGGCGGGGTCTTAGCTCGCCAAAGAAGAAACGAGGAAAAACGCTCAAGCGAGATGGATGTGAGTCGGAGGGAGGAGATTCGTTGGAAGTACGAGCAGCTGATTGCCAAGATGCGGCAGGACGACAGCCAGGGTGGGTGTGCGGATCTTCCTCTTTGGCTGGGCTCCTGTCTTAGCGAGAGGAACTTCTCCCTCATCACGCTCCTGACCGAAGTGGATCAAGAAGGCAAACTTACCCCGTTCTCCATCTACGCGCTGAAAGAGGTCATTGAAGGCGTTGCTGAGGACCAAAAGTGCAATCGTCGGCAAGCGCCATGTGGAAGGTTGGACAACAGGGGATGGGATGCCACTCGTTGCTCACTCACTCAGGCCTTTCTGTGTTGCGCTCAATCAGGCATCACGCGAATCATGGGGACACCCCTCCCGCGGCCAATGCAGTGCCGGCCAATAGCACCGCCCAAAAAGGGACATCGTGTTTGCGTGGTGGACCATCATCTTTGCTGCCCACAGGCGGCCCGGCGGGCGACCGTGCAAGACGGGAGAGCGCGGGTGAAAGCGGCGTGGCAAGGAGGAGGAGAAAAGGAGGGGAGGGGGATACGGGGTGAGGGAGGGAGGGAAGCTAGTGGTGGACGTTCTTTTCCTTCTTTTTTTTCTGATGGACCACTGTCTTCCCGCTGGTTCGTGCTCTTCCATGGCTTACTGGACTGCATAGTATACGTTGTGTGTGCACGACTGACTGCCTATGTCGGCGGCTGCTAAGTGTGTGAATGGTTTGGTCTGACTCTTGTATAGAACGGACGTGCGAATGTCTGGTCACTATTGCATAGAATGAGCCACACATAGCTAGGAAAGGGACACACGAACGAATGATCGGTCTGTCACGGACGACGTTGATCGTCACCTCGCTGCGCCGCGCCCTGATAACCGGAGGCGCACGAGGGACACTGAGTGAGAGCGATGTGGATGACGCGAGGCGTCACCTGCTGACCCAACAGACGGTCAGTGAGTGGGAAGAACAGACAGACAGGCAGGCGGCAGAGGGAGTCAATCGTCATGTTGTCTCTTCCATGTGTGTGTGTGTGTGTGTGTCAGGGTGAGGTGGTCGCCTTGACTGATGCTGTTGTATCACGTGTGGTGAGTGAAATTACCCCTGCTGCCTTCACGTGCACGTGTTTCGGTAGCAGAGCCGCGACATCGTTGCACCCTTCGACGATCCGAAGGGTGCGTCGGGGTCGCTGCCTGACAGCCTTCACGCGTGCCCCACGGGCGGAGGTAGGGGGGTCGATGGTGGGTGAGTCATCCCTTGCTGTACGTGCCACATCTGTGTGTATCTACCTATTGAGTGTGTGGTCGTGAACATAAGCTGGTTGACAGACAACGCAATGCAATGCGGCGGTGGTGCATTTTTGGCTGCATGAGCCGTCCGTTTGTCTGATGTGAGTGGATGCCACCGGTCTGTGTGTGGGTGTGTGGGTGCTTACACTGCCATCATCATGACGTGAGTGAAAGGGGTGCTGGTCGGGTGGACACTGCCTTTTTGCACAGACCGACATGCATACCATGCCATGCCCAGACTCATCACATCACCGGTCCCACTAATTGAATGGACGTCCATGTACACACAGGCAGCATTGTTGACACGGAAACCGGTGATGCAACAGGCGCCATGACGTGCGCCATACCCACGTGACGGTCCACAGTCCACACCATACAACGGGGAGGGGAGGAACAGGGGACACAGTGCAAATGACACAACAATGAGAGATTCCGGGTCCTCAGACCCTTTGGAACGGGGAGGAATGGAACTTTTTTCCGAGCTTCTGAGCAACTTCTGAGCTCGCAGGATCGATGGGACCCCACGCGAATGCGTGTCGACGAACTGTTACGAGGGGGGAGGGGCCCCCGAGTAATGGGAGGCGATCGGCCAGACGGAGAGCATAGGAAAATGGCGGGCAACAAATATACACAGTTTTCCGAGAGTGATTTTTGGTCGCCTTGAGGTTGAGTGAGATTGAGTACGTAATTTAGAAGGGCTGGACAAGAGGAGACGCCAGAGGTTTCGGCAGAATTCACGTGTGGTGCACGGAAATTGGCTTTGTTCCAAGTTTATCGGTCTGTTTGCTGAGTGCATGCGGCGAGTGTTGGGGAATAGGAAGGCTGCAATTACGGTGGCTTCGACGAGAGGAGCGCTGCAATCCCCCCCCCCCCCC